AATTTAATTAAAAATTTTTCCACTTATATTAATATGTGGAACGATAAAATTCATTATGATAAACATTAATTTTAATATGTTCATACTATAAATAAATTTTAATATGGCACTATTTAGGTTTAATAACACAATCTAAGTGTAAAAAATACAATTTACAATGATTTTTTGTGTACATCTCTATATATAAAACTGTTTGTCCTGACTGACTGGCTGACTGACTGGTGATCAACGCACAGCCCAAACCGTAAAAGCTAGGAAGCTGAAATTTTCACTGTAGTTACCTTATGTGATGTAGGTGCACGTTATGACGAGAAACGTTTGTATGTAACTTTTTTGTTTACTATCCAATCGGCCCCAAACTTATTTTCAAAGATCTTTGTTCAAATTCATTTGAGGGGTGTTTCACACTTTAAGAAAATCCGTTCCTGCTTGGTGGAAAAGGAGGTCAAAGATTTGGTGGGTGACGTTTCGCGCTCAAATTCGTTTCCAAAGATCTATAAGAAAAATCATTTGGGACGGGTTTCACACTTTTCGCAGAATTCAAACTTCTTCGGGTGCAATGCGATTTGAAGATTTTTTGGGCGAAGTTTTAAGCTGTGTCCGATTTGCTTCAAACTTATTTTCAAAGCTCTACATAAGAATATAATGAATACGAGTTTCAGCAATTTGGGAAATTCCATTCGCAACAGTGGTAAATTGGCGGAAAACGTTTGTATGAAAGTTATTTGTTTACCGTTCGATAAGTTACAAAATCATTTTCAAAGCTTTTTGAGAACGTTGATTTTTAACATATGTGCCACGGGCAAGGCCGGGTTATACCCGGCCTATATATAAAACTGTATGTCCTGACTGACTGACTGACTGATTGGTGATCATGGCACAGCCTAAACCGTAACAGCTAGGAAGCTGAAATTTTCACTGTTGTTACCTTAAGTGATGTAGGTTCCACCCGCAACAGTGGTAAATTGGCGGAAAACGGTTGTATGAAAGATTTTTGTTTACGATCCGATCGTCCCCTAACTTATTTTCAAAGATCTTTGTTCAAATTCCTTTGAGGGGTGTTTCACACTTTTCGAAAAATCCGCTGCTCCTTGGTGGAAATGGAGGTCAAAGATTTGGTGTGTGACGTTTCGCCCTCAAATTTATTTCCAAAGGTCTATAAGAAAAATCATTAGAGACGTGTTTCACATTTCTCGCAAAATCTAAACTCCTTCGGTGGAAAATGCATTTTTAAGATTTTTTTGGTGAATTTTAAGAGTTTTCCGATTTGCATAATAGTTGTTGGATTCCCGTGCGCTCAGTTTTAAAATCATTTTCAAAGCTTTTTGAAAACATTGATTTTATAACATACGTGCCATGGGCAAGGCCGGGTTATACCCGCTTTGAAACTTTTTTGCTTACCATCCGATCGGCCTCAAACTCATTTACAAAGATCTTTGTTCAAATTCATTTAAGGGGTGTTTCACATTTTTCCAAAAATGTATTCCTCCTTGGTAGAAATGGGGGTCGAAGATTTGGTGGGTGACGTTTCGCGCTCAAATTCATTTACAAAGATCTACATATATGAAAATCGCATAAAGGCGATTCAAAGATTTTTTGGGCGAAGTTTTAAGTTGTGTCCTATTTGCTTCAAACTTATTTTTAAAGCTCTACATAGGAATATAATGCATACGTGTTTTAGTCGGAAATCGTTTTTATGAAAGTTGTTTGTTTACCGTCCGATCCGTTTCAAAATCATTTTCAAAGCGTTTTCAGAACATTCATTTTATAACATACATACGTGCCACGGGCAAGGCCGGTTTATACCCGCTAGTATATATTTATTACAACAAGCAAGTTGTAATATGCCGATTGAAAACATAAAAGTGTCCAACAAATATTTTTTCTCGGTACCTAAAAGTAGGCAGTAAAATTGTATCCCGCTAGCGTCAAAAAGCTTTGCTTGTAAAATTAATAATTACGAGAAAGAAGTGCTATTTTCGGAACACCGAAGATTTAATACCCTTGCAGACCCAACCTTTTCAAAATGGTCATAGTGCTTTGCCCGTATCTAAGAAGCACAGGGAAAATAGTTAATGCCGAGTATGGTTAAGATATCTTGAAAAACAAAATAGGTTTCCATACAACAACTTAATTTTCGACCGATCGTTCCTATGGCAGCTATATGATATAGTAGCCCGATGTGAATAAGATTTTGCATAAGTGGAGGGAGCATAGTAAAACTAATAAATGCCGAGTTCGGTCAAGATATCTTGAAAAACAAAAAATATTCCACACAACAGCATAATTTTCGACCGATCGTTCCTATGGCAGCTATATGCTATAGTTGTCCGATCTTAATAGGCTTTTGCATTCCTGTGGCAGCTATATGATATAGTTGCCCGATCTAAATAGAATTTTGCATATATATGGGGAGCTTGGTAAAACTAATAAGTACCGAGTTTGCTCAAGATATCTTGAAAAACAAAAAATATTCCACACAACAGCATAATTTTCGACCGATCGTTCCTATGGCAGCTATATGCTATAGTTGTCCGATCTTAATAGGATTTTGCATATATATGGGGAGTGTAGTAAAACTAATAAATACCGATTTTGGTCAAGATATCTTGAAAAACATAAAAATTTTCCAAACAAAAACTTAATTTTCGACCGATCGTTCCTATGGCAGCTATATGATATAGTTGTCCGATCTTAATAGGATTTTGCAAATATATGGGGAGCGTAGTAAAACTAATAAATACCAAGTTTAGTCAAGATAACTTTATAAACAAAAGTGTTTTTCATACAAGAACATACTTTTCGACCGATCGTTCCTATGGCAGCTATATGATATAGTGGTCCGAAATAAGTTTGAAAATAAGTTTGAAGCAAATCGGACACAACTTAAAACTTCGCCAAAAAAATCTTTAAATCGCATTTCCCCCGAAGAAGTTTGAATTCTGCGAAAAGTGTGAAACCCGTCTCAAATGATTTTTCTTATAGATCTTTGGAAAAGAATTTGAGCGCGAAACGTCACCCACCAAATCTTTGACCTCCATTTCCACCAAGGAGGAACGGATTTTTCGAAAAGTGTGAAACACCCTTCAAATGAATTTGAACAAAGATCTTTTAAAATAAGTTTGGGGCCGATCGGATGGTAAACAAAAAACTTTTTTACCACCGTTTTCCGCCAATTTACCACTGTTGCGGGTGGAATTTTCCAAATCGCTGAAATACGTATTTATTAAGTTCTTATGTAGAGCTTTGAAAATAAGTTTGAAGCAAATCGGACACAACTTAAAACTTCGCCCAATAAATCTTTAAATCGCATTCCCCCCGAAGATGTTTGAATTCTGCGAAAAGTGTGAAACACGTATCAAATGATTTTTCTTATAGATCTCTAGAAATGAAGTTTTGAAATGAGTTTTATATATAGAGATATATACATATATATACATATTGATAGAAATTATCATTTTAGAGTTGGAACAAAACCAATTTTTCTAACACAAGTGAGATTATTGTACTTATATATATATATATATATATATATATATATATAGAAAAATTGTTAGAAAAATTGGTTTTGTTCCAACACTAAAATGTTGGAACCCCGTTTCTATGAAATCGATAAGTATCTATATTGAGAGATACAAAATTTGGTATGTACTAAAATTATCATTTTAGTGTTGGAACAAAACCAATTTTTCTAACACAAGTGAGATATATACATATATATATATATGTATATATTATATATAAGTACAATAATCTCACTTGTGTTAGAAAAATTGGTTTTGTTCCAACACTAAAATGATAATTTTTTTCAATTGAGTCAAGAACGGAGTTTTATCCAAAACTTAAATCGGCATCTGTGTATACTATACTAAAATCTACATACCAAATTTTGTATCTCTCAATATAGATACTTATCGATTATTTGAAACAAACTCTAACTGCGCCGTCAGTACGAAGACCTCCGTTCAAAATTGCTGGTCTATTGGTTTCGGACACCGACGCTTTCATACATCTGTTGGACGGATAGACATACGGACATGGCTAGATCTACTCGACTATTGATGCTTAGTAAGAATATGTATACTTTATGGAGTCGAAGTTCTTGATGCAAGAATAAATTAATCCTATATCACGTTCAATATGGGCCTATGTGAACATGTGACATGTGAACTTTATGGAAAGATTAATTTATTTTATTTTTGTATATGCAGGGTCGTTTGAAAGAAGAATTTCAGAGTTGAGTCAAAATTAGCCTTCTTTTATGACAGGTTTTACTTGATATGAAAAATGGTACGAAATTTTTGATTTTTTCTCACTGTGTATAAAGGAGATAAAAAGAACAGTAGCACAACGCTACTTATTATGAGTCAACAGATGTAGATAGTTCTATGAACGCCCCAATAAGCCAGCCTTGTTTACGACTATTTTTATTTATAAGCCTCACATAATGCTGATTACATTTTTTCACACTTTAAATTAAAGGTGTCATAAAAGTCTTAAAAACTCAAATGTAAGTGAGTGTGGACCAGTTTCAACCCACAGCAACCTCATGTAAATCAGATGATGTCACCAGCAGTTGTTCACTTAGAATGAAACCTATCTACTATCACATAACATATAGTATATGTATGTTAGTATATTATGAGCCGTTCACTTATGTTTGCTGAACATACTACTAAATGTACAAAGCTATTACCGCAGAGTCATGCATTTGAAATGTTTTAAAAAGCTTCATGAGTATCTATATTTGCATTTGTGTGTGCAGAACATGAACCAAACATGTAACTGTGAGAAACAGCAATCTGCTTTAATGAATTAATAAATGAAACTAGATGGGAGGATGTTTTTACATTTCAAATTCACTGGGGCCATAGACATTAAATAAATTAACTAAATGTCATCCCTAGACTTATTTATCTTTATTGTGCACTGATAACCCAACTTTCAATGTTGACTCTTAGAAAAGCATTTAGAACGAACGTAGCAATCTATATATGCCCACGACCGCATCGCGCTGTAACAGTAACACTTTAAAGCAAGTTTGGTAATGATAGTTCATTTGTTCATAAGTTAATACCATCTTAATAATGCCTACGCGTGTCGACCAACAAGACAGTGAAGCAAAACCTGCCGATGCTATTGAAAAAACCATGAGTGCAGGTCATGAATATGAAGAAGTACTTGAATTGATCGGTACGTCAACTATTAACAATTTTGGTAGTTTGCAAACCAGCTAATTAATCGAACAATTAAACTACTTGCCAAAGGATTTGGGCGTGTGCAGTGGACTATTCTGGTTGCATCAGGTCTATTACTAATGATGGTAATAAATGAGACAATGGGTATGTCATATATTACAATTGTATCTCAGTGTGAATTCGGAACAAATTCAGTGGACAAGTCCATCATGAGTGCAGCGAGTTTTATCGGTAAGTTTACGTAGAGAGGAAACACTTATTTCTAAAGAACTATGCATACTCGTAGAGATATTGCAGTATATTTATGACGCTGTTAAAAATACTCCAAAACTCCAAATGCTTTTAAAACCACTACAGCACGGTCAGAGATTGTTGCCAGTAATCCTGTTTGCTAGGATTTGCTCTAAACTACTTATAGAACTATAATGAAGGGTCGTCCAATGAGAAAGTGAACAGGTGACCAGAATGTCAAGTCGCTGTCCGGTGTGGTATACACTGACTCGATTTGTGTCAACCGAGAGTGCACCTGTTTTAATGTGAGCCTGGCATTGCCGAGGACGCGATGAAGATGCAACTGTGGGGCATGTGGCTAAATTAAGTTCCACTTGATGTCAGTGCTGAGATGTGCAGCTAGCTCCTAGTGCAAAAAAATGTATGCGAATGAAAAAGCAGATTTAGCACCACTTCTTGAGCGACTTGTTGAGTTCATTGATGTATTTGCTAAATATATTATTAAATTTAATATATAATATTTCGTATCGTTGTCAAACGATGACAATCAATACATAAACTCCTGGGTTCAGGTGCATTCAATGCTTGTTTTTCATGATGAGTTTTCTCATGCAGACATAACGTGGCCAGTTGTATCGTTTGAAAAAGCATTCCCACGCAGTAGCATATGGCGGGTCTGTAATTGGCAATTGACGTATTAAACTTGAGGCTTCATTAGTCAAGCAAGTAATAGTGCTCTAATCGGGATCTCCCGACTAGGGGACTAAGCCCTCTTCTATCAACATTTAATGCAGCCTTCGATATTCGCTATTTAATGATATATAGTAGCATTAATTTTAAATAAAAAGTAGGCCCCCTCTGCCAGTGTCGAAGTTGCAACTACCTTGAACCGACCGAACTACTTGCTATTGCCTCATGCCTCACAGCCATACCAAGTATTAAGTTTTAATGAAACTACTTAATTAAAATACAATCGCAATTGCAATTCAATTTATAGAATTCAAAGTAGACGCTCGTTTGAATGAATATAGAATATTGCGTCTAATCCATTCAAAACTACCTATCATGTGAAAAATAGATTATGGAGCTGCCGTCACGAAGGATCAATATATACGATAAGAAATAATTCATAACGTGCTTTTATTATTTGCATTTATTGTTAGTTTAGTAGACCACCGTCGGCATATCCGCCTTACTTTACTTTCAATACAATTCATGTGAGATCAGGCTATGATTCGTTTAAGTTTTTGCGATCTGAAATTATTTGAACACGTCAGAATAATTTTTATTTTAACCTCTTCTTCCAAAATAAAACATCTTAAAATTTCCAATAGTCACGGTCGGATGCTATTATTGATTTAAGACAATAATTCTAAATACCAAACGATTCGGAAGACCGAAATCCTCTTGTATATTGGATGGTTATACATATATGTAGCTTATTAATTGTTAATACAAGCTACAAGTTCTTAAAACAAAAATGTAATCGTTTTTTCCAAATATGTACATACATACATACATATGTATGTAAGTAGCGAGAGCTTACATTTTTTGAGGGCCCTTTCTGCCAAATTGGTTTGCATTCCGGCGATGTGCAAAAATACATACAAAATATGCAAGTATGCGTGAATAGCAAGTCCAAAAACACACATGCCAACGTTTAGGTACCCTTTCCAACAAGAACGAGCTAAAATGAAAGAATTTCGCATCGACGTGGCAAACCTTTTCATTATTTCATGTTACTCGTCCCCTCAAAAGGGAAGAAATGCCACCGACTTTTGAGAAAAATTGAAATTGTGGGCATTTTTGCTTGTGCGAACACATACACACACAAACATTTTAACGGTACATAGACAAATTGAAAGAGCACTGAGAGTAGGCCAAAGCAGTTTCCTGTAGAGCGATATAAAAAACAGCGATGCCGTTCTATCGCACAAATCATATGGATGAGAGTAAGCCAAAGCAGTTTCCTGTAGAGTGAGCGAATAAAAAGACAGCGATGCCGTTCAACGACACAGGTCATATGTATTCTTACTCTCTTGCTGTGAGAGCATGCGGGCATGTCTCGAACCCGAACAAAAACGAAGACGACTTTGGACCAGCCGCACGAAAAACACTTGTCCCCGTCATTAGTACTGTTTGTCCAGTATATATGCTATTTGGTTAGTGATTTTGTTTGTTTTCTGTGCTGCTATTTGAATTTGCTTTTTATCTCATTAGGACTCAATTATTGGTGTGGATGTTGGGTAGAGGCGGCAGCAAGTAATGCGGTCAGTTGCGAGTTCGAACCCTGCCAAGGAAACTTTATTTTTAATTTATCTTTATTACTACTAAAGCAAACGAGCGCGTAGCGCGATCTATATTTGGTGTTAGAATAAGAGGGTTCTGGATATTCCCTAGTTGGGGGCTCCCGACTAGAACTTCTTACTTGTTTTGATATACATATGAAGCCAAAAGCTTTTTAAGCTATAAGAGGCGTGTAATCCGTTTTCAGTGCGGTATTGTGCACAATTAATGGTCCTATCTAAATGGAAAAGAACCATTTTTATGGGCAGGTGAAAGTGTTAGGAGATCCATAATTGCCATAGACATGACAGCATCAACAGCCGAATTTATATTGATATATCTAGACCAAACTCGGCATTTATAAGTTTCACTATTAACATTTGTTTTTTTGCAGGAATATTTTGCTCTTCATATTTCTGGGGTTATCTTAGTGATTCAATTGGACGTAAGCCAGTATTAATATATACCACATTTGTTGGAAATCTCCTGTCGTTAATTTCAATATTAATTCAGAATTTCTGGATTTATGTGGTTGCACGATTTTTAGTCGGATTTTTGTAAGTATGGACATTCTTCAACCGATATTATTACCAAAGAATTTTGTCTTACATTTTAAAACATGTATGATGGTCGCTTTTCAGCTATTTCTCCGTTTTTCAATATGCTGGTTTTGATTTTTTAGTCTAAGTTTTATAAATTTACTTTGAAGATATTGAAAATAGGTACAGGTTATGTAACAGGCAGAAGTAAGCATCTGCGACCTCGTAAAGTGTATATATTCCTGATATACAAATATACGACACCATAAAAAGTCAAGACAATCTAGCTATGCAATCTGCTATGTCCGTCTGTATGCACGCGTTGACCTCAGAACTTATTAGAGCTGCAGACTTGAAATTTTGAATGTAAAATCGATATCAAAATCCCGTTTTTATACCCTGAACCCATTAAAAATGGGTAAAAAGGATATAATGTATTTGTGCAAATGTATCTAACAGGCAGAAGAAAGCATCTCCGATCCCATAAAATATATATATTCTTGGTCAGCATCATAAGCCGAGACGACCTAGCCAAGTCCGTCTGCTTGTCCGTATATATGAACGCATGGATCTCAGAACCTATAAAAGCTAGAGACTTGTAATTTCGAACATGAGTTTGTTTCCGATAATCGATAACTTGCCCCAGGAACCGATAAAAATCGAAATCGAAGTCCTGTTTTTGAGCAAATCTCGTAACTTATAAGAGCTAGAGTCAACAAACTTGACATTTAGCTTCTAGAATAGTATATATATATAAAGTGTCTTTCATTTTATAGCTATCACCAGCTCCCCTACTACCTCATAGCTATAAATCAAGTAAATAAACCAATTTATACTGCCCACCAATTCAACCCACAATTTATATGCAATTGACTTCTTGGGAATAAATAAATATTCTATAGTACAATAATATCTACTGTTGAAAATTTCATCAAGATCGTTAGGAAACACAAAAGTTATATAACAAAATGTGTTTTGGCTGCCCACGTGGTTGGGGCAGCTAGCGCAAATTGCAAGAATTTCTGTATACATGTACACACACACATTCATGCTCGTCTTTTTTTAATTTTCTTAAAAGCATTGCAATTGCTATTGGGTGGTTTTCTGTGCTGCTATTTTAATTCTTTTTTTTTCATGAAGGCTCAATTATTGGTGTGGCTGTTGTGCTCGACGAACCCTACCGAGGAAACGTTTTTTAAATATATTTTTATTTCTGCTTAAGCAGTATTTGGTGTTTGCAGAAGAGGGTTCAGGGTATCCCCTAGTCGGGAACTCCTAGAGCCGCTTACTTTTTTGAGCATATTTTTTAGGTTGCAGTTTTAGTGTAGTATATATACATACATTGTAAATTACAGTATTTCAACACCACCGACCCATCTTTTTTGCAAAAATATTTTCTATAGCTCAATAAGACCTTCCGCATAAAATTTCATAAAAATTGCTTAAGAAACATGGAAGTTATTAAAGAAAACGTTGCTAAGTCACGTGCCAGCTATCGTAAAAAGCAGGAAGGCCTTCTGTAAACATGTTCACACAAACAAACATTCATATGCGTACTGCAATTGTGATTATATTATATGCGCTGCTGTGTAGTTGTGCTGCTATTTTAGTTCCGTTTTTTTCCCGAAAATATCTAATTCTTAGTATAGCTGGAATGTATGAGGCTGTCGGAAATACATATGTATGTACATATTTCGTTAGAACGAAGGTGGTCGCGAGTTTGACATAGGCAGAGGAATCTTATTTTTTAAATTTTAGAAAATTTTAGATTAGGTTCTCCTAGTGCCTGCGCAGATCAAGTTTGTTTCCGATATTCGATAACCTGCTCCGTTTCCAAGTAATCGATAAAAATCGATATCGAAAACCTGTTTTTTGAGCATGTTTGTTACATACTTGACATGCAGCTTCTAGAATAGTATATGTACATATATATATCAAGTATCTTTCTTTTTATACCCTTGCAGAGGGTATTATAATTTTGTCGTGAAATGTGTAACGCATAGAAGGAGACATCTTCGACCCCATAAAGTATATATATTCTTGATCAGTATCAACAGCCGAGTTGATATAGCCATGTCCGTCTGTCCGTCTGTCTGTTTCTATGCAAACTAGTCTCTCAGTTTTAAAGCTATCTTTATGAAACTTTGCAGAATTCCCTCTTTCTGTTGCACGCAGCTCATATGTCAAAACCAGCTGGATCGGACCACTATATCATATAGCTGCCATAGGAACGATCGGTAGAAAAGTAGGTTCTTGTATGAAAAATATTTTTGTTTATAAAGTTATCTTGACTAAACTTGGTATTTATTAGTTTTACTACGCTCCCCATATATATGCAAAATCCTATTAAGATCGGGCAACTATATCTTATATCTGCCATTGGACCGATCGGTCGAAAATTAAGTTTTTGTATGGAAAATTTTTATGTTTTTTAAGATATCTTGACTTAACTCGGTATTTATTAGTTTTACTACGCTCCCCATATATGTGCAAAATCCTATTAAGATCGGACAACTATTTCATATAGCTGCCATAGGAAAGATCGTTCGAAAATTAAGTTTTTGTATGGAACATTTTTATATGTTTCAAGATATCTTAACCAAACTCGGTATTTATTAGTTTTACTACGGTCCCCATATATATGCAAAATCCTATTAAGATCGGACAACTATATCATATAGCTGCCATAGGAACGATCGGTCGAAAATTATGCTGTTGTATGGAATTTTTTTTGTTTTTCAAAATATCTTGCTCCCTCTACTTATGCAAAATCTTATTCACATAGGGCTACTATATCATATAGCTGCCATAAGAACGATCGGTCGAAAATTAAGTTGTTGTATGTACCTGTTTTGTTTTTCAAGATATCTTAACCATACTCGGCATTAACTATTTTCCCTGTGCTTCTTAGATACGGGCAAAGCACTATGAGCATTTTGAAAAGGTTGTGTCTGCAAGGGTATTAAATCTTCGGTGTGGCGAAGATACCACTTCTTTCTCGTTATAACTATCACCACCTCCCCGCTACTACCTTATAGCTATAAATCAACTAACTAAACCTGTTTATGCTGTTTATTTAAATGCAAGTGTCATTTTGAAAATACACGAATATTTTATAGTACAATAAGATCTACTGCTGAAAATTTCATCAAGATCGGTTAAGAAACACAAAAGAAAATGTGTTTTGGCTGCCCACGTGTTTGCGGCAGCTAGCGCAAATTGGAAGAATTTCTGAATTCATGTACACACACACATTCATGCGCGTCTGCTTTGGATTCTGTCAACTGCATTGCAATTGCGATTGTATTGTTTTCTGTGCTGCTATTTTAATTCGTTATTTTCTCAATAAGACTCAATTATTGGTGTAGCTTTTGAGCACGTAGGGCGCGAGTTCGAACCCTACCGAAGAAACTGATTTTTTTTTTGGCTCCCAGCCGTTTGTTAAGTAGAAGCAAGTTCGAGCCCAGCCAAGGGCAAACGAGCGCGTAGCGCGAGTAACCTTATGTGATGTAGGTGCACGTTATGACGGTGTTTCGGGAAATCCACCCGCAAGTGGGGAAAAATCTCAAAAAACGTTTGTATGTAACTTTTTTGTTTAACATCCGATCGGCCTCAAACTTATTTTCAAAGATCTTTGTTCAAATTCATTTGAGGGGTGTTTCACACTTTTAGGAAAATCCATTCCGCCTTGGTGGAAATGGAGGAAAAAGATTTGGTGGGTGACGTTTCGCGCTCAAATTCATTTCCAAAGATCTACATATATGAAAATTCATTTGAGACGTGTTTCACACTTTTCGCAGAATCCAAACTTTTTCGGGTGGAATGCGACTTAAAGATTTTTTGTGCGAAGTTTTAAGTTGTGTCCGATTTGCTCAAAACTTATTTTCAAAGCTCTACATAAGAATGTAATGAATACGTATTTCAGTGATTTGGGAAATTCCACTCGCAACAGTGGTAAATTAGCGGAAAACGTTTGTATGAAAGATGCTTGCCGTCCGATCAGTTTCAAAATCATTTCAAATTTTTTTGAGAACATTTATTTTATAACATACGTGCCACGGGCGAGGCCGGGTAATACCCGCTAGTATGGTATATATTACCACGCTTTGAATGATTAAAATCATTAAATATGTGTTCCCAAATGCGAAGGTACTTACAGATCCATTTAAGCACAACACACTATCGCGTGCGGCCAGCTTCAGAACTTACACAGCTGCAGCGCTTTTTCCGACTGGTTCCCAATTTTGGAAATTTAATGCTGAGTGTTTGTAGTAGATCTTCATGAAATTATAAAGGAATATATATGTTATTCAATATACTATACGAGAGGCTATCTCGCTCTTACAGGTTCTAAGTTATGCTTAAAAAACCAATTCTTTAAATCTATTTTTATAGGCATTTTAGATATATCGATACTGCTATTAATATTGACCAAGATTCGACGCCTGTTGCATTTATATATACCATTTATCAAGCAATCATTAAAATATCATATTTTGAGCATATCTCTTAACGATCCATTCTTTTATAGTATTCACAGATCCAGAATAACTAAGATCTGGAATAACTAGAAATAATTACTTTTTACAAGGGTATAAAATATTTATTATTTTATTAACAGTATAGCAGGTGCATCTTCCACTACATATGCATATCTTGGGGAATTTTTTACCGTACGTCATCGACCGATAGTAATAAATTATGCAAGTTTTTTTGTCGGCATATCTACAATTTATGTACCTGGTAACTATTTTTATTAAATTATGTATGTAAAATTCCTTTAATCAAATAAAAATTCAATTTTATCATTAAGCTGTAGCGTGGCTTGTAATGTCAATGAACTGGAGTGTAGGTCTCACTGAAAGTTTTTCATTCCGTCCTTGGCGATTGTTGACAGTGTTTTATCTACTTCCTGGAGTGGTAGGAACGATAATATTGTTTAAAATGCCTGACAGTCCTAAAATTTTATTATCGATTGGAAAAATTGATGATGCGTTTGCCGCAGTAGAGTGGATCGCTTTACAAAATGTTGGCAAACGTCTTCAAGAATTGAATGTTGATAAAATAAAATATGATGTATTCACTGACAGAGAAAATGTACCGAGTGTTTCCTACTCACCGTAAGTATTAAGTTTCAACATACCATACTTTAATCAACCATACTTTTTATCCCTTAGAATGGTCTCTTTCAAAAAAATGTGGCAAGAAACCGTACCACTACTAAGAAGCCCGCATTTAAGAAACTTTAGCATAAGCTGTACTGTTATGTGTGGTCTCTTCTTTAGGTGGGCCATATATGCAATTAACTTAACTTTTCACTGATATTCATTTCATTTTCAGTTCATCGGGTATGGGCTTGTGGTATCCAGAAATACTAAATCGTTTGGGATCGTCTATTGCTGACGACGCTATGACCGTTTGTGATGTCATCGATGCTTCAGTTAATCAGTCAAAACTAAACCAAACAACAACTGTATGAACTCGTGAGCAATACCACTAACCATACTACATATAGATGGGACAGCTAGAACAACAAAAGATATCCACACAGACATTTAAAGATCTTTAGACATTAATGAGAGAGCCTTGAGAGCAATAAGAGTAAGCCAAATCAGTCTTGTATAGTGGGAGCGAAAAAAAAAACAGCGATGCCTTTCTATTTCACAAAGCATGTGGCTCTCAATTTCTCTTGGTCTCTGAGTGAACGAGTTATGGACCCGATCAAAAACAAAGTCGATGTGGAACCTGATTCACAGAAAATGTGTGGTTACCTTTTCTTTCTAGCTGTTAGTTAGTGGCAATATACTATAATATACTTTATTTTTTACAGATTTGCGTTGATGAAATAAATACTAAGAGCTATATTGATACGATTACCTACGGTACAGCCTTAACTATGGGATATATTTTAATGGGCTTTGTTATTAATCAGATTGGGCGCAAAGCAGCAATTACAATGGGTTTGGCAATAGCTGCTGGTTGTGCAATTTCATTAGTGTGGATAAAAAACGAAGTTATCATTATAATTTGCTTTTGCTTGTACCTGGTATTACCAGGCTTGTGTGTATCGGTTTTAAGTGGTGCCGTGGTAGATCTAGTCCCCACAAAATTAAGAGGCAAAGCGGTTTGCATCTGCTTGATGCTGGGGCGCATGGGAAGCGTTTTTGGCAGCAACATCATTGGAATTCTTCTCGAGACGTACTGCCATGTAACATTCGAAGTATTTTCTGGATTTATTTTGGGTAAGTAAATATGTTGTACAAAATAAATCAAAAAATGAGTACCTTCAAAATGTTGGTACACCTCCCGATGAGGTCGAGGACTACGACTACTCGAAACTAAGTACGCAACGCTGAGGTTCATTACAAACATAACTTTAACGAGAAAGAAGGGCTATCTTCGGCACGCCGAAGATTTAATACCCTTGCAGACCCAACCTTTTTATTATGCTCGTAGTGCTTTGCCCGTATCTAAGAAGCACAAGAAAAGTAGTTAATGCCGAGTATGGTTAAGTTATCTTGAAAAACAAAAGTTTTCCATCCAACAACTTAATTTTCGACCGATCATGCCTATGGCAGCCATATGATATAGTACTCCGATGTAAATAAGATTTTGCATAAATGGAGGGACCATTGTAAAATTATTAAATGCCGAATTTGGTCAAGATATCTTGAAAACCAAAAAATTTCTCATACAACAACTTCATCTTCGACCGATCTTTTGCTAAATGGCAGCTATATGATATAGTAGTCGGATGTAAATGAGATTTTGCACAAATGGAGGGAGCATAGTTGAACTAATAAATGCCGAGTGTGGTCAAGATGTCTTGAAAAACAAAAAAATTTTCCGTACAACAACTTAATTTTCGACCGATCGTTCCTATGGCAGCTGTATGATATAGTGGTCCGATGTTGATAGCATTTTGCATATACATATGTATATTAGGAGCATATTAAAACTAATAAATGCCAAAAACGAAACAAAAAAGTTGTTCATACAAGAACCTACTTTTCGACCGATCGTTGCTACGGCAGCTATATGATATAGTGGTCCGATCCAGCTGGTTCCGACGGATGTACTGCACTTCTGCAAAGTTTCATAAAGATAGCTTTAAAACTAAGAGACTAGTTCGCATAGAAACAGACAGAAGGACAGGCGGACATGGCTATATCGACTCGGCTGTTGATACTGATCATAAATATATATACTTAATGGGATCGGAGTTGTATCCTTCCATGCGCTACACATTCCACGTAAAAATTATAATACCCTCTGCAAGGGTATACAAATTGTAGTTACTTACCATTTTACGGGGAACAGAAGTTTTAAAAAAATGCTGGAAAAATCGAGAAAGTTTTCGAGAAAAACATAGATACATTTGATCTGCATTCGAGGATATTTATATAAAACTGGCGGGTATTACCACTTATCATACAATATATAGAGGCTTCAAATCTAGGAATAATCGAATTCAGAATTTTTAATGCGACTGAGGCCCATGAGTGCTTCCGACCATTTTGTTATGCCTAGAAAGAGTAAGACTGCTGAGAGTGGCAGCCGAACGCCAAGACTCGAGCCCAGATACATATGTACATATGTGTGTCTATGCATGTGCAGAAAGCGTCTTGCTCTCACTCATTGATCCATGCAATTGTGTGCATCTTCTTTTCACTGCAAAGATTTGCAAAACAACCCTGTGACTTACATATAACTTACATAAGATATTTTCTTCAATGGGTTGGTTGACCCTTTTGTACCTGCGACAGCAAAAGGTACACACATTTATTCAAATGCTCTGCCGTATATTCCGTCGCCAGTCATATAAAACTCTTTGTCCTGGCTGACTGACTGACTTATTGGTCAACGCAAAGGTGCACGTTAAGACGGGGTTTCGGGAAGTTCCACCCGCAAGTGTGGTAAAATCTAGGGAAATGAAACTTTTTGTTCACCATCCGTTCGGATTCAAACTAATTTTCAAAGAACTTTCTTTAAATTCATTTGCAAGCACCCCTTCGCAATTTTCGGTAAATCCATCCCTCCTTGGTGGAAATGGGGGTCAAAGATTTGGTGGGTAACGTTTCGCACTCAAATTCATTTCTAAAGATCTACATACATATATGAAAATTCATTTGAGACGTGTTTCACACTTTCCGCAGAATCCAGACTTCTTCGGCAGAAATGCGATTCAAAGATTTTTTGTTGTGTCCGATTTGCTTCAAACTTATTTTTAAAGCTCCACATAAGAATATATTGAATACGTGTTTTAGCGATTTGGGAAATTCCACCCGCAACAGTGGTAAATTGGCGGGAAATGTTTGTTTGTAAGATGTTTATTTACAGTCCGATCAGTTTCAAAATCATTTTCAAAGCTTTTTTGAGAGAATTTATTTTAGACATGTCATACGTAATATAAACTTAAATGACATAAATAATATAAATTTATTTTATATTATACTTAATTATGTTGTTTGCTGTGGGGATCTATTTCGCTTAAAATAAAAAAAACTTCTTAGACATATTTTTGCAAGGATAAATAATCGCCGGCTTCTAATACCTGTTCTACTAATATAATATTTTATACTTATCTTTGCAGTCTGTGCATTTTTGTCCTATCTCTTACCAATGTAAAGGATAACACGGTTATTAAATCAGAACTTAGCATACGAAGATTTCCTGATGGATTTAAAGAATAAATTATTTATAAGATGTATCGTTTGTAAGAAATAAAATGTAGAAAAATGGTGCGTGGAATTCCCTTACTTTAGTATGACCAAAGGGTTTCGAAATGGCAATAAATGAAATACTGGTAAATAATATTAATCCATTGTTCCTGAAAATTCAATAACAATAATTGCGACTAGGAGAGTGACATAGGTGAGTCGATTGTCCGCTCAAACTATAGAAAAGTAATAGCTTTGAACAAAATATACATGTATGTATCAAATGTATTTATAAATGTCAATACAATAAGTACCCTGAACCCACCATCCCAGATACGAGCTCATTTGTTCTAGCAGTAATATATTTAAAAACAAGTAAGAGGCTATAGTCGAGAGCTCCTGACTAGGAAATACCCTGAACGCTCGTTTGCTTTAGTAGTAATAAAGAAAAATTAAAATGAAAACAAAAATTGTTACCCTGGCAGGGTTCGAACTCGCAACCAACCGCACCACTTGCCGCCTCCACTCAAGAGCCACACCAATAATCGAGTTTAAATAAGAAAAAGAACCAATTAAAATAGCAGCACAGAAAACAATACACTCGCAATTGCAATGCTGTTGATAGAATTCAAAGCAGACGCTCATGAATGTGGGTGTGTACATGTATACAGAAATTCTTGGAATTTGCGCTTGCTGCTGCACGTGTTTGCAGGCCGAAACACATTTTCTTTCGTGTTTCTTAACCGATCTTGATGAAATTTTCAGCAAATCTTATTGTACAATAAAATATTCGTATATTCTCAAAATGACAATTACATTTAAATTGATTCTTATATTGGTGGGCAGCATAAATTGGTTTATTTACTTGATTTCTAGCTTAGAGGTAGTAGCGGGGTGGTAGTGATTGCTATAAAAAGAAAGATACTTGATATATATGTATATACTATTCTAGAAGCTATATGTCAAGTTTGGTGACTCTAGCTCATATTATTTACCAAAATTTCTCAAAACACAGGATTTCGGTATCGATTTTTATCGATTACTTCGAAACGGGGCAAGTTATCGAATATCGGAAACAAACTCGATTTGCGCGAGAACTAGGAGGACCTGCAGCTAAAGTCAAGTCTCTAGCTCATATAGGTTCTGAGATCCTTGCGTTCATACATACGGACAGACGGACGTACAGACAGACGGACATGGCTAACTCGACTCGGCTATTGATGCTGATCAAGAATATATGTACTTTATGGGGTCGGAGATGCTTCCTTCTGCCTGTTACATACATTTCCACAAATACATTATAATCTTCCTACCCATTTTTAATGGGTTCAGGGTATAAAAATAGATAAGATTCTTCTAAGTATGCCTGACTGGACCAAGAAATACATGAGAGAGCATTTGAATGTGTGTGCCTTTTGCAATTGAAGAAAATATCTCTGGCTCGCGACAAACGCCATGATCTACTATTGCGCACATCCACACAACACAAACATACATATGTTTGTAGATCTCGGGGTTTTTTGAGAAGCAATGCAGAGAGAAAGAGATGCACACAAGTGCGCAAAGCAATGAGTGAGAGCGAGGCACACTCTGCACACGCATACACACATATGTATTTGGGGTGTAAGGATTTAAAACTAACATACATACATACATTAAGAAATAGCATCAGCCGCAGCGACGTTGTGCGCTGAGCGAGATGCGACCTCATACTGAACGTTCGGCCTTCGAGGCCGGCGTTCGGCTGCCACTCTCAGCAGTCTAACTCGATCTGGGCACACTAAAATGGGCGCAGGCACCCTTTGGGTTCCCTCGTTGTGATTTATCGTGTTTCGATTATTCTGCTGTTTAACATATCTATGCATTGTATGGTTAGAGCTTCCAGTCTTCGCTTAACCACCAGGGCATTGTATGTACATTGATTGTTAGCATTGATTTTAATGTACTTATTATTATTAAATACCTTTACCGAAATATGGTTTACGATTTTGGAGATTTGTGAGGCGAGCAGTAAAGCTTGTAATTGCTGAGATTGGAAAATGTTTCAAAACAGAAAATGCGTCTATATAAATATAATTTTAAGACAAATTTTTCTATAGAATTATATGATGTCAAGGTCCGAAGTTAATAAGAGTTGGCTCATATATTATAAGCAAACTTTTTTTAAAGGCTTTCTAATGGAATTTTTCCGAAGCGTGTAATTTACATTAGTGGAAGAGATTGTTTTTATGTGCTCTGCAGAGTATTCGTAAGCTTTAGATGTAGTACCAATGCATTCTGTGCAACACGCAATCGAATTTCGCCATCGATGTTGAAAAACCTAACACGCCTTGCCCATGCTACGGCCTGGCCACTCGCTCCAGTCGCAAATGGACCACGTCTACAAAGCGTACAATAATTATTGTACAATAAAAATTCCATCCCAGCGCTTTTGTCACAAAGTAATACTCGTTTTGAGCAGAAAGCTTAAATGTATTAAGTTTTTGGCACATGATGTAGTTGGTTTTAAAAGTAAACAGTTTTTCACATAAGTTAACAAATTTTATTTAATTTTATGTTATGAAAAATTTGTGGATTAATCTATCAACTACTTTAATTAATATAACAAGAGCTGGATCCCAGAAGTAGAGTCGATTACTCGCGGGAGCACTAGTAAAGGGTCGCTGTAGCCACGGCAAAGTATCTGTGAATTTGCTAGATCCGTAAGTAGAACTGGCAACTGGTATTACCAATTCTATTAAATATATTCACTGACTTTAAATTATGGTAATTCTTCATTTTAGTTTTGCCACATAAGGAACGTCCAAACTTTTAATGTAGTTTTTTATCACGATTCCATTTCCGGTGGCGTAGCTTTGAACATTTAACAGATTCTATTAATAATGTTAAACATAGGTATAATTAAAATATCAGTTTTTATACCCTTGCAGAGGGTATTATAATTTTGTCGTGAAATGTGTAACGCATAGAAGGAGACATCTCCGACCCCATAAAGTATATATATTCTTGATCAGTATTAACAGCCGAGGCGATATAGCCATGACCGGCTGTGCGAACTAGTCTCAGTTTTAAAGCTATCTTTATGAAACTTTGCAGAAATCCCTCTTTCTGTTGCACGCAGTTCATATGTCAAAACCAGCTGGATCGGACCACTATATTATATAGCTGCCATAGGAACGATCGGTCGAAAAGTAGGTTCTTGTATGAAAAACATTTTTGTTTATAAAGATAACTTAATCAAACTCGGCATTTATTAGTTTCACTATGCTCCTCATATATATGCAAAATACTATTATGATCGGGACACTATATCATATAGCTGCCATAGGAACAATCGGTCGAAAATTAAGTTGTTGAATGGAAATTTTTTTGTTTCTCAAGATATCTTGACCAAACTCGGCATTTATTAGTTTTACTATGTTCCCTCCATTTGTGCAAAATCTTATTAACATCCGACTACTACTATATCATATAGCTGCCATAGGAACGATCGGTCGAAAATTAAGTTGTTGTATGGAAACCTTTTTTGTTTTTCGAGATATCTAAACCATACTCGGCTTTAACTATTTTCCCTGTGCTTCTTAGATACGGGCAAAGCACTATCAGTATTATGAAAAGGTATTAAATCTTTGGCATGCCGAAGATAGACCTTTTTTCTCGTTATATGTATTATTAATTTTGAAATTTATTATAGAACTGCATTTAATGGCTTAAATTAATTTAAAAATATTCAAGTTAAATTTACAATTTTTAATAATTTAATAATTGAAAACAAAATATTGCTAATGTAAATAATATTTTTTGTATTTCAGTTTCATACATTTTAAATATACAATAGCCTGCGCCAAATCGAAAATTCGATATTTATAATGATTTGTTATCGATATTTAGCAGCTCTCATTCGCTCATCTCGAAACTTTGACGATAGTTCAAAACTATCGGAAATTCATCGTCAAATGTCGTTACTGCAAGAACCTCGACAAGCGTGCCGCCACCGCTTTATCGGCATTTAAATTGTTTATATTCAATAAAACACGCAATAAAGTTCGGTTTCATGGCCGGAAATGAAATCCTGATAAATGGAATTTCCATATGTGGGGTGTCTTATGATCCGATTTGTCGTTCACATTCCTTTTATCAATTTGAGATCAACCAGGGGTGAGTAAGACCTCGATAAACGGAAAATTCGGTTAACAAAATAATTTATATTTAAAATCGGACTAACGAATTTCGGTTACTTTTCGAACGCACAACCTGCAAACATGCCTATGGTGAACAGTTGTTATGGTCCACCCTAACGGCCAGAGGAAGAGATACACTAAACAAAGGTAACAAAACTATAAAAACATCAATAACAAATCGGACGTCAATTGGTGTCTCCCGCCTATCCTGTGGTGATAATTATTAATTTGCATTTCACCACCCTTTTATTTCAGATGTAAGACGGCACTTATCCGAACGACGTGGACATTCTCCTCCCCTTCATCAACAAAATTAACCGCTCATAATTCTTTATGTTAGTTAAGTATAATTGTTGGCATTAATTATGACTATTACAATAATATTAATTTCTAAAGCATAATTTTTTTTGCAGAAATCCACAAATCAAAAGGAACAGACGACGAAAGTACGCCCAAAGGTTATTGCCGCAAAAAAAGAAGTATGGAGAAAAATAAAAGGTAATTGTTGCATCAATGGAAACAAGGTACCCGCTGAATTAAATGTGTGTATATATGTGCCAAAAGAAAGATTTTATTTGTGTGTTAAAGCGCTGAATATACCTTGCCTGCCTAAAGAGCTCTCTGTGGGGCGGTAAGGGCAATAATAAGTGATATTCTGTACATATGACATATATGTATATACATATATAGAAGTGGGTATCGTTCGTGCAAGTAACCAAATTTTAAGCTTTTATATTTACTAGGCAGATGCAATAACGTTTGAGTCGTTCACTCGCTGTTCGCACTTTATGAAGTTTTATTAAGTGAAACTATGCGCAAGTATATACATATAAAATTAACAAAAATAAATGAATTTAATAATCGCAAAAATCTTCTCTTTCAGGGAGCTCGAATATGAGGCTCCGTCTGACTCTGCCTGTTGTTCGGGGTGAGGATGGGCGTTATGGAACGAACTCACTCGGAAGTGGGCGTGGTCTCGCCAATGGCCGCTTCTTAGCCTATCGTTCGGGTTAGCGCTGGTGAAAAGTGCGTCGAGGGTATGGCTGACGTGCGCCGCTGAGCCGGAACCTGGCCTGGGTGGTAACCTGCTGGCCTCTCTGGTTCGAGAGCTTCTTGGACGGCCTGAACTCTTTAGCGTGGATCCTTTCGTTGCCGGAACCGTATGTCGTTTTCTTTTATTTATTATCTTATCTTTTATTTATTCGTTTCGTGTCCCATGTAAGTTTAAAGTTTTGAATTTTTATACCTCGCACAACTGAGTTTACCCGGGCTATTCATTTTCATTCGTCACTATTTTATATATGCATATAGGCGAGTTTAATTTTTTGTTAAATATATTATTAATAAATATTTTAAACGTGCCTGGCCAAACGTGTTTTTTTGGTTATTTAAGTTTCCACTGGTGCATTTGAGCAGAGCCCGACTGTCTTGTACCACCTCTCAAAATTGACTCTTTTGTTGCAGCAACGAAACTCATATCTTCGACATGGGTAAGTTATCGACCGTGTAAGCCAAAGGCATCACAAAGGCCATATTTTCATTCATTACCCTGCGAGCGAATCTGGCGGGCACCCGCCTTTGCTTTCCCACCTTTTTTTCGCTCAATGCAGTGGATTCTGAGCTAGGCGTTGCCACCCCTGCGAAATTTGGGGCGCTCGAAGGTGCTTAGGGCCCTCACCGATACACAATATACAACATTAATTATACATTGTATTTGTGCATACAAGTCGAGTCGATCTAGCCATGTCCGTCTGTCTGGCCGTCTTTCCGTCCGTCCGTATGTTTGAACGCAAGGATCTCAGAACCTCAGAAGCTACGGAAATTTAAATTTTAGCTGTAGGTCCTCTTAGTCCATGCGCAGTACGAGTTTGTTTTCGATAATCGATAACTTTCTCCGTTTCCAAGCAATCGATAAAAATCGATATCAAAATCCTGTTTTTTGAGCAAATTGGGTAAATAATAAGAGCTAAAGTCACCAAACTTTATATGTTGCTTCTAAAATATATACCTATCGCAACCTCCCCGCTACCACCGCAAAGCTATAAATCAAGTTAGCAACCCAACTTGTATTGCCCACCAATATAAACCACAATTTCAATGCAATTCATCATCATTTTGAGAATACACGAATATTTTATAGTACAATAAGATCTACTGCTGAAAATTTGATCAAGATCGGTTAAGAACCCTGCCAAGGGAACTTTTTTTTTTATTATAAGCTCGACAGCCCAAATTATATGATAAGATAATAACACTAACTATACAATGCATAGACTTGTCAAACAGCGGAATAATCGGATACCGATAAATCGTCAACGACTGAGCCCCATGGGTGTCCGCGACCATTTTAGTGTGCCCAGACAAGGTAAGACTGCCGAGAGTGGCAGACGAACGCCGGCCTCGAAAGCCGAACGTTCAGTATGAAGCCGCATCTCGCTCAGCGCATAACGTCGCTGCGGCTGATGCCTTTTCATAATAAATATATGTTACTTTTTAATTCCTTACATTCCAAAAACATACATATGTGTGTATACATGTGCAGAGTGTGCCTCGCTCTCACTTATTGATTTGCGCACTTATGTGCATCTCCTTCTCCGTGCATAGCTTCTCAAAAATCCCGAGATCTACAATCATACATATGTTTGTGTTGTGTGGATGTGCGCACAAGTAGATCGCGGCGTTTGTCGCGAGCCAGAGATTTTTTCTTCAATTGTGTGCCCTTTGTGCCTGTGGCACACACATTCAAATGCTCTATCATGTATTTCTTCGTCCAGTCAGGCATAATGAGAAGAATCTGATATATTTATATTTATTAAAAACTTAAATGACCTAAATGATATATTTATATATGTAAGTATTATATTTTAATTTTTTTGTTTACTGTGGGGACCAATTTTGCTTAAAATTAAAAAAAAACTAAGTCGTATTTCTGCAAGCGTAATTCTTCGTCGGATTGTCGAATAATTTAAGAAAAGACCAAAAATTGAAAATGTTAAATTTTTGCGACTTGCTACTTGTGCACACGTACACTCTTTCGAGTAAGTAGAGTAGAGTAAGTAAGCACACACACTTACACACTTTTCTATATGGATGAAAGCATTTATGCGTTTGTGTGCCTGTTGGTTGCCTGCCTGTTCGATGCAAATTTAAAGATTTTAAGTTTTTGGCATTTCTGAATTTCGAATTTCGAAAAAATGCAAGTGATTTTTGTATGTATTTTTTGACGTAGTAAACATTTTGGGTTAAAGGGTTTTATGGCAGGCAATTAACGATAAGAATGTGCAGCATGCATTTGCATCCATTATTTATTTATAGGTATTGTGTTTTTAAATGAAGGTTTACTGTTTTTAGCAGCTCCAGGTCGTAATTAATATGCTCACGCTGCTCGTGGCACTGAGTCAAGCTAGCCGCGCATAAATCCAGCTGTCCGCAACGCTGGAGTCGTCAGTCCATGCTATAAAAAATAGACTTATGTTAATTTTATTTTAAACAGAACTAATGTAAATCATTGAGGGGAGGGATTCTCGAAGGTAGCGCTTGCATTGGCTGCTGCGCGCGAAGTGTCTGCTTCCACAATCATTCCATCCTCTTCGCTAGTTTCTGTGCTACGCTTAGATTTCTTTCTTTTCGGAGGTTTATTAATAAACAAATAAATATATTATATATATATATATATATATATATATAATATAAATAAAGTAATTTTTAAGTTTTTTTTTTATTTATTGTAAACAAATAAAACATTATCTTCGTATATATAATACGTCATACTTTGCTGCTGTATCCACGGCTGCTGCGGCTGCATCCACGGCTGTTGCGGCTGCATCAACTGCTGCTGCGGCTGCATCCACGGCTGTTGCGGCTGCATCCACGGCTGTTGCGGCTCCATCCACGGCTGCAGCGGTTGTATCCACGGCTGCGGCTGTATCCATATCTGCGGCACCCGCGGCTGAGGCATCTGCGGTGGCTCCTGCTGCTGTAGCATCTGCTGCAGCTGAGGCGGCTCCTGCTGTTGCATTTGCGGCTGTGGCACCTGTGCCGGCTGTTGCATCCGCGCCGCCTGTTGCATCTGCGGCGCCTGCGGCATCTGCGGCGGCTGTCGCATCTGCGGCGGCTGTTGCATCTGCGGCTGTGGTACACGCCTCTGCTGCGATTACTTTGCCACTTCTTTTTTTATGGCGTTAATTTGCCTCTGCTGCGCCCTATTAAATTGTTGTTGCTGCTCGACTTTATTTGTAAGAGCAGCAACGTGCGAGGGCTGTCGATGTTTAAAAATCTTCATTTTTTTAATATTTGGCGAATCCGCTATTATAAAGCCTTTCGTATCTCATTTTGAAATATTGCCACCATTTGAAATATTTTGCAATATTGCCACCATATCACAGCACGAAATATATTATTGCCAGCTAGTTTTTTTGCATTAACATAGGGAATAATGAGAAAAATAGAAAAATGAGAATTTCTTGAAAACTGGCTGGACGATTTTCTTGATGTAAAAAGCAAAATGATTGATAGTTCGCGATCTATATGTTAAACTACCGTGCATTTAAGGCCATTATCGGAAGAATTAAATATAAAAATTGATAAAATATCGTCGCCATTTTGATAAATAAAAATTTTAAGGAAATATTGCCAGCTAGTTTTTTTGCATTAACATAGGGCATAAATAGAAAATAGAGAATTTATTGAAAACTGGCTGGACGATTCTCTTGATGTAAAAAGCAAAATGATTGATAATTCGCGATCTATATGTTAAACTACCGTGCATTTAAGGCCATTATCGGAAGAATTAAATATAAAAATTGATAAAATATCGTCGCCATTTTGATAAATAAAAATGTTAAGGAAATATTGCCAGCTAGTTTTTTTGCATTAACATAGGGAATAATGAGAAAAATGAGAATTTATTGAAAACTGGCTGGACGATTTTTTTGATGTAAAAAGCAAAATGATTGATAATTCGCGATCTATATGTTAAACTACCGTGCATTTAAGGCCATTATCGGAAAAATTAAATATAAAAATTGATAAAATATCGTCGCCATTTTGTTAAATAAAAATGTTAAGGAAATATTGCCAGCTAGTTTTTTTGCATTAACATAGGGCATAAATAGAAAAATGAGAATTTATTGAAAACTGGCCGGACGATTTTCTTGATGTAAAAAGCAAAATGATTGATAATTCGCGATCTATATGTTAAACTACCGTGCATTTAAGGCCATTATCAGAGATAAATAAAATTAGGATGAATAATATGTTGAAATATTGCCACCTATTTGTTATTATACTGTGTATAAATACATCAATGCACTGTTGCCTTATTTAGCAGAAGTCTATATTTCCAAAGATAATGTTTTATTGTAAAATACCAATTAATTCATTTATTACTTCTTTTCTTCCACATATACAAATATTTTGAATTAATTTGTTCCCGCTCAATACTGTATAAGATTATTCAACACTGATTCCAAGCAGTGGTTCGGTTCACGTTGGAACTAGTAGCAACAACACGAGGTGTGTTTACACGAGGTGTGTTTACATTTGAATTTGAATTTGAATTAGGATATATAGAGAATGGTGGAAACCTCATTTTTCAACCTCTTGGTATACCCATATTATAAATCCAAAACAAATGAATGTAGACAGTAAATAATTTAATATTTTGCAATTGTGCATTTAAATTTATTGGGTTTTGTGCTTAAAAACATTAAAAAAAATGCATTTAAAAGTGACCGATTTCTTTTCCGATACCAAGTACCAAAAATCAACGCTAAGTCACCGCCGCTAATTTGACGCACGTACTCAGTGCAATATGCTTGAAGTATCGATATCGTTGACGATACCAAGTACCAAATATCGGATATCGGTGACGATATCGATACTTCAAACAAAAACAGAAAGAAGAAGAAATAGGAATTCAATTCTGAAATCTGAGCCGTATGGAACGGACGCGAATTATAAAAATAAAGCCAACGGCCATTTGTATTTTACAAATCAGGTGTGGGGTATACCCAAATAACATTGCAAATCATTGGCAATGAAATAAACCGAAATATTAAGAAAATCAAGGAGCGAATTAAGTTCCCTATTGAGCGCCCTTAGCGGCAAGTTTTGAGAAAGCGTCTCAATTCATCAATTGCGCTCAGCCCTAAAAGCAATCATGAACGATCCCGTGGATAGAGCCGGAGCCGCAGAAGGAGATTGGATGCTGGATTTGTTTGAGGGAGATAAAACGTTAGCTGCCAACGATGCAGAAGACGGTTTTTTTTTTCAGCATGGCTATACATGCGTATATACGGCATGAATGTGTGGGGGAGCCAATCGCTCAATTAAGATTTGACGCCTCCTCTTTGTTGTTATTATGCTTTAAATGAAATTTTATAAATTAATACCCATTATCAATAGTAATTAATCGCGACTGGTGAAGTAGAAAGGAATGTCCGCTTGAATGACATTGTAAATTGCTGAGTGGAGTTGTCCTGCAAAAGAGAAAGGCAATAAGAAATAATATTAATTGTCAATAATTTGAGGGAAATGCAACCAATTATACGCACATTTTGAGAGAAAAGAATTTCCGGCTAAGTTTCAATTGATGGGGAGAGGAGGCATGACAGCTGACACGGGCTGATGCAGGCCATCTAGTGGCCAAAATGAGGGAGACCAGGGAGATCAGGTGATCGTCTCAGGTAGGGTGGGTACGCTGGGCCTGGAACCGGGACCCGATCTGGACAAGTAAAGTGGATTAATAGTGTTTTTTTGTTAACTTATATTAGCGTCTCACCCTTGTTGGTTAGCGGTTAGTGTTGTTCATTTGTTAATAGTTCCGGCTGTTTGATGTTATTGATTTTGTGGTTCGTTTTGGATAGTGTTGTGTAGGTCTGTTTTGCTACAGAAGTGGTAGCTTGTTGATATCGATTGTGCGGACTGCGGGCCAGGGATGGGACTTCACCCAGAGAACCAATGAGCCAGCCAGCGCGACTCGAAGAGAAACAAGCAGTTCAGTAACATAGTTAACAATATCAAAACTAGGTGCGACAAAGAATACCATAGCATAACATAAAAAACATGAGTCTGTCATTTTTTACCCAATGGATTCATACTAAAATGACAGCAAGCAGACTTTTCATGTTTGCTGTGCCAATATTGTTGTTTTTTTAACAGCTGTGTACTTTGTAAATGTTGTATAATTGAGTATTAGTAGACCCGAAGATCCGAGTACTATGTAACAGATCTGTAAACAGGTGTATACCAGCAATTAAAGTAAGTCATTCTTGAGTTTATTTATTTATAAGATAAATAAACCAAAAAATGTCCTATTAAATTTGTACTCGAAGTTGCTGTGTTTCTTCTTTGAACCTACTATTTTTAGACTCAGTCACGGTTCTCATTGTGTCACAGATATAATACTATCGAGCATCTCCTTTTAATAACAACCACAACCACGCACATCTCTAATTTTTATTCATAACATTAACAACAAAAATTCCATTCATGGCCGATTTTCAAGAGCAATTGAGAAAATATCGACAAAAGAAGCAAACAAGAGAAATATTAAATAACTTAAAATCTAATATTAAAAAATTTTGGATGCTAGGCACGGGTGAAGACCAACTTCAGGGAAAATGTCAAACATCTATCGACATTAAGGTATAATATGTGGTATTTGATATTCATATGGATGTATGTATGTATATACATATGTTTAAACGATAACAATGTTGTTGTACTTCTTCCCTTTTTAGCCAATCAAAACCGTATATACTGAATCTTCTAACGTCAATGAAGCGATTGATGAATACGTGTCATCAAGTGAGGAAGAGCAATTGTCAGAGGGAAACCTAAATACGAACGTCGGGAATGAGAATAAGTGTTTAAAATACACACTTTGGAGTGTATATTCTCTGTTGTGGGTTACATTGTACGTGATAGCAATTGAGCTAAAATTTGGGATGGTCTTTTTAATGTTATCTGCATTATTTGGAATATATTTCAACACAAGAACTGGCCCAAAGAAATGCAATGAAATAAGTGCCTACAGTATTTTTAACAAAAATTGTGAAAGTATAGATGGTACGCTGAAGGCGGAACAATTTGAAAACGAAATTCGCTACGGCTTTGGGAGTGTGCGATAATATCCCTTCTCGGAGCATTAAAAGCTTCATACATTGGCGATTATTGATTGGAATATCCTTTAATTCAAAAACAATCAACTTAATCAAAAGAAATAAAAACCGATATGTGACTAAATGTTAAAAATTCAGTTTTGGGAACACATAAATGTATTTAAAATGTAAATCTAAATTATCTTAATAATTAAATTTGAATTACGTTTTAAAAAGCAGCATCAACGAAATAACAACAATTATATCCTAAGACGTGTAACGTTAGTACCGAAGTTTATTGGTGATATTCAAAATACATATGTATTTATAATGGTTTTGTGCAAATGTATGTACATATGTAACCGGGATAAGAAAGAATCTTAGCCAAGTCGATCTATCCATTTCCGTCTGTCCGTATGTATAAGTGCGTCGATTTGAGAGCCTGTAAGACCTATATACATATATATAAACGTCGAAATCATCTAAGGTTTTAAGAAATCCAATTTTTAGGCAAATCTCTTACGTTTTCTAGTCACCAAATTGACATTAGGCTCTTAGAATATTATATACAAATTAAGTATCTTTAATTTTATAGCTATCGCCAATCCCTCTGCTACACCCCATAGCTACATATATATCAAATTAAAAATCACTTGGCAATACCCAACAATTTATGCCTTACAGAAAACGTGTGGTTATAGAAACAGGCCGAGTGTTTGCGGCAGCTACCGCAAATAGCACAAATAGCTATTGTACTTCAATTTTTTATTTTAGGTGCAAGATCAGCGTTTTGGTATAGCCAGCTTGGCCAGCTGAAGCTTAGTTTTAAAAAACTTAGATATTATTTAGAAGTCACACATAGCACAAAGTCTAATAGGTTTTATCGAATAATTACATTGCTGTTTAATTGGCGCTTTACGGAAGTTAATTGGAATAACGGTGCAGGCAAAAGTTCACGCCACAGGTATAACGGTGGAAAAATTTAAATTTGGTTATGAGAGGGATATTTCATCCATTAAAATAAGTGCTCCGCCAGAAAAATTTACTAACATTTGTTGTTAAGATTTTTGGCCGCAAAATTTAATAGTCAAAGAATATAAGGCCAAAAGGAAACTGTAGGTGCTGCGTCAAAACACTAAATTCTTCTCTTGTGCTTGCCTATCAGAACGTTAGAAGTCTTAAATCTAAACTTGGTAGCCTGTACTTAGATTCTCTTGCATTCAATTTTCTCTTAATCGCTTTTTCTGAGACCTAGCTTAAGCCGGACATCTCAGATTCCTCAATTTTTATACCCTGAACCCATTATAAATGACAAAAAGGATATAATGTATTTGTGCAAATGTATGTAGCAGGCAGAAGGAAGCATCTCCGACCCCATTAAGTATATATATTCTTGATCAGTATTAATAGCCGAGTCGATCTAGCCATGTCCGTCTGTCCGTCCGTATATTTGATCGCAAGGATCTCACAACCTATGAGAGCTAGAGACTTGAAATTTTAGCTGTAGGTCCTCCTAGTGCCCGCGCAGATTGAGTTTGTTTTCGATATTCGATAACTTCCAAGTAATCGATCAAAATCGAGTTCGAAATCATGTTTTTTCAGCAATTTGCTAATCAATAAGAGCTGGAGTTACCAACCTTGACATATAGCTTCTAGAATAGTATATATATATCAAGTATCTTTCATTTTATAGCTATCATCATCTCCCCGATATTACCTCATAGCTATGAATCAAGTAAATAATCCAATTTATGCTGCCCAACATGTAAGCCACAATGTAAATGCAATTGTCATTTTGAGAATACTCTATAACACAATAAGATTTTCTGTAGAAAATTTCATCAAGATCGGTTAAGAAACACAAAAGAAATTCTGTTTTGTCTGCCCACGTGTTTGCGGCAGCTAGCGCAAATTGCTAGAATTGCTAGAATGTACACACAGACATTCATGCGCGTCTGCTTCGAATTCTTTCAACAGCATTGCAATTGCGATTGTATTGTTTTCTGTGCTGCTATTTTAATTCATTTTTTTCTCATTAAGAAATAATAATTGGTGTGACTATTGTGTAGAGGCGGCGGCAAGTAGTGCGGTCTTTTGCGAGTTCGAACCCTACCGAGGAAACTATTTTTTTTTTGTGCCCGTGTGGCTGTTGAGTAGAGGCGGCAGCAAGAAATGCGGTCAGTTGCGAGTTCGAACCCTAGGAACTTTTTTTTTTATTTATCTTTATTACTACTAAAGCAAAGGAGCGCGAGCTGCATTTGGTGTTGGAATAATAGGGTTCAGGGTATCTCCTAGTCGGGGACTCCCGACTAGAACCTCTTACTTGTTTGGCTGTTGTGGCTGTTGAGTAGAGGAGGCAGCAAGTAATGCGATCAGTTGCGAGTTCAAACCCTGCCAAGGGAACTTTTTTTTTTAAATTTATCTTTAGTACTATTAAAGGAACTGCATTTGGTGTTGGAATGAGAGTGTTCAGGGTATCCCCTAGTCGGTAGCTCCCGGCTAGAACCTCTTTCTTGTTACCTCTTAATCGATCGAGCTTCCCGTATCGGAGGAGGAGTACTCATAGCTGTTGAGTCTGCTCTTTCATCGGAACACATTGACCTTTCCATATTGGAGATTAGGTTGGTGGCTGTATCTGGAAATTTCTGTATTTTTATTTCATGTCTAACATGTCTATTTGCCAAAGCGATCTTGACGCTATTAAATCTATATCCTATACATCTCTTGATCTTTGTGTTGGATGCGTTCGACAGTGTTTTGCACAGGATTGACCCGCTTACACTTCCTGTAGACCTTTTCATCCAACTTTTTATATGGTCATTGATCTACCAGTCCGGGTGCCTATCAAGGAATCGGAATTAGCTGATTGTCTCCGTTGTTTTTGAAAGGCTAATTTTCATAAACTCAATGATCTTATTCTGCAAGTCGGTTGGTCCCAACTGCACAATTGTGCAGGCATTGATGTTGCCATTAAACAATTTTAACAGTGTTGCTTGATACTTGGTACAGTGCGCCGCGTGTTTTCTACAATCCTAAAATTAATAATAAAAAATGGTTCTACTTTTTGCCCGGCTCCTCGCCTTGCCGCTCCGTCATCATGGTGGCTAAGGCTGTTAATGTTGAGTTGAACAAGAAGCTGCTGAACCTGCAGGCCGGCGAGCCCGAGTTTTTGAAGATCAATCCTCAGCGCACTACTCCCACTCTTGTGGACAATGGCTTTGCACTGTGGGAGTCGCGTGCCATTCTGGTCTACCTGATGGAGAAGTGCGGCAAGACCGACTCCCTATACCCCATGTGCCCCAATAAGCGCGCCGTCATCAACCAGAGGCTGTACTTCGACATGGGCACCCTGTAGCAGAGCTTCGCCAACTACTACTATCCCCAGGTGTTCGCCAAGGCGCCTGCCGATCCTGAGGTCTTCAAATAAAAGAGTATTCATTTTTACTGAGTACAATTTAAGAGATACCTTGTATTCGCTATTTGATAGCTGCGTTCCTCTTGATCACCCAGCGAGGTCTGATAGGCCTCCCTGGTTCTCAAGAAAACCAATGAGATTTAAAAATGTGAAGTCGAGTTGTTATAGAAGTTTAAGAAATCAGGAAATCACTCTGATTTCTCCCGCTATGCAGTTGCCCAATCAAATTTTTCTATGTGAAATTCTATCTGCTATAAGGATTACCGTCGCCGTTGTCGCCTCCAGTTTGCACATAATCCTAACAAATTTTTTAATATTGTCTTCTCTAAGCGTAAGACATATATTTTACCATGTTCGGTTAAGCTTGCAGATCAGAGCGCGAATACTGATCCAGGCATTGCCGATCTGATCGCAAACTTTTTTCAAACTACCTACTCGTCATCTAGATACAATAAAAATAAGTCTTATTCTTATTAGTTACCGGGCACTGATGGTGTTCCTGCTTGTGTGCTCAGGTACTGTACTGCAGCACTATGTAAACCTGTCTTAATACTTTTTGAATTGTCTGTAAACACTTCACCTTTTCCGCCCATTTGTAAATAATCATAAGTTATCCCTCTCAATAAAAAAGGGAGCAAGTCCAAATTATCCGCTATAACTAAAGCTTTTGAAAGAATCATAACATTTATGTAGTTCTATTATTTAACCTTCCCAGCATGGGTCCGGGAAGCCTAGATCTACAACCATTAACCTTCTTGAGTTTACTTCGCTAGTAATTGATGGTTTTAAGAAAAGAATGCAGACTGACGTCATCTGTACTGATTTCAGTAAGGCTTTCGACTCTGTTAACCACTTTTTACTGCTTCATAAATTATGCCTTCTCGGCTACCCAGTCAATCTCTTGAACTGGATCGGAGAGTATTTGCATAAGAGAACCCAAAAAGTTCTTTTCAGAAATTCGTTTTTATACCCTGAAAATGAAATGAAAATGTGTAAAAAGGGTATAATATTGTTGTGCAAATGTATATAACAGGCAGAAGGAAGCATCTCCGACAACATAAAGTATATATATTCTTGATCAGCATCAACAGCCGAGTCGATCTAGCCATGTTCGTCTGTCTCTTCGTCCGTCCGTCCGTCTGTCCGTATGTATGAACGCAAGGATCTCAGAACCTATAAGAGGTAGAGACCTGAAATTTTAGGAGTAGATCTTCCAAGTGCCAATTCCAAGAATTTCTGTATACATGCACACACATATTCATGCACGTCTGCTTTGAATTGTATCAACAGCATTGCAATTGCGATTTTATTGTTTTTTGTGCTGCTATTTTAATTCGTCTTTTTTTCTCATTAAAACTCAATTATTGGTGTGGCTCTTGAGTAGAGGCGGCGGCAGCTAGTGCAGTCTGTTTCGAGTTCGAACCCTACCGAGGGATCTACTTTTTTTTTGCTGGTGTGGCTGTTGAGTAGAGGCGGCGACAACTTGCGAGTACGAATCCTGCCAAGGGAACAGTTTTTTTTTTTTAATTTTAATTTTTCTTTATTAATACTAAGGAAAACGAGCGCGTAGCGCTAGCTGCATTTGGAGTAGGAAGACGAGGGTTCAGGGTATCCCCTAGTCGGGAGGTCCCGACTAGAACCTCTTACTTGTTTAACTGTATTCTGTTGACTTCCGCTGTTCCTCAAGTCCTCAAGTAGTCATCTTGGCCCGCTACTCTTTACTTTTTTCATCAATGACCTTCCCTCGTTACTGTCTTACTATTGAGTATTAATGTATG